CAGTGAAATGTCGACAGTATACACAATCGAAATAACACACCTCTTATACTAATACGCCTAATTTATAAGAACATATGTTCATTTCAGATATATTAACACTAAAGTTACACCAACTACCTCTTCAAAAAAATATACTGACCTGTTTCTATATTAATATAGTAATAGCACTACAAACACAAACGTTACGTTTTTTCCCGATACTAATACTAAATCACACAGCCGCATTGTAGACGTTATTATTATTAGATAAGCTTAAATCGGTATCGACAGCGAAAACAGGAAAATATTACTGAACAATTTAAAACCTTAACAAATACAATCGTAAATTAAAATTTTAAAAAATTTTGTTTCTTAATAATATTCTAATATAGGAAAATATGCCTAAATATTTTGAAAAATTATGACTGATTATATTTCTACTAATTTAACTAATTTAGCAAAATAAAAGGATAATGATAAAAGTAAAAATACTTTAATGAATTTATGGTAATCACATCTCGTTCATAAGCTATTAATAAAGTCATTACTCTAAACGTTTTGGTACATCAATCGACAATTTTTTTCGCACAATTCTGACCGTAATGCTGATATCAAGCAAAATCGTAGTTCGACTCTCTCGCCTGAAGCGGGGTTCTCGTTGCTTTTCTCAACCCTTTTATCACATTTGCTCTTTCCTTTCTCTTCATAAAAGCGCAAACATTGCAGGATACTTACAGTTGTTTCTGCTAGTAAAAAATAACCGATTGTGCTATTCTATTACGGTCGGCGTTCCAAAATAGGTTGGGAGAGCAATTTAAGTGCGTAGGTGTGTGTTCTGCCGAGAGGGGATCAGCCAGCATAGGTGTTGCTTTTGGAAGGCTTTTTTTATATCCAAGATTCCTTCAAATAGTTGGCGACTGTTGCATGGGTCACATTTACACCTATTACAACTTTTTTGCCAAAGTTTGTGTTGACAAGGAAGTATCTCGCCTAATGGATTGCGCAACCTTCAAAGCATTTTCGATAATTTTTCTGGAGCAATTATTGCCACCAGCATGTTTGGTGGTTCCAGTTTTTTTATATGTCATATATCGTTGAAAGTGGGATGTTTGTACGTGCATGTAATTCGCAAGCATTACGCACACCCTCATTCCACAAATGTAATAAAGTTTTGCATTGTAATTCTTTCTTGGTAGCAATAAAAAAAGCAGTTTAACTTTATCCCTAATCTTTGAAATCAAGCGCGTTGCAAATTGGTTCAATTTGGGCGTTTTTGTGATGCGTACAATTTTTTTTATATGCTGTATGTATGATAAATTTGATTGTTTTCTCAATAACGACTCGAATTTCTTTTGTCCTCAATTTTCTAGATTCAATTAATAGATTATGTATCACGCTCTCTTTTCAAAGAAACTTTGGAAAAGAGTACAGAGATTGTGCACAGTTAGTGAATCGATGATACAAAAGATGGATGGGAAAATATTCTTGGACCTACGTAGCAGTATTGTGGACATGCTACTCACCGACAGCTACAGATGGAAGCTCGACGATGACGTGAAGGTGTACTTCGGCAGGTTCATCACTAAAATAGCTTGATAACTTCTTTGCCGGAAGCAGTTTTTGGACGCATTTTTTATCTTCAAGCACAAACTCTTTAAGCACCTTGTCGATACTGCTGTCAAGGGGAAGCGAGACTTTCCAGAGAGCGAGCTGGTTGCGTCGACGCTGTCCTCAATGTAAACAATGCTTGGTTGAGATATTAACGGTGCTTGCAATATTCTTCGATATCTTGTAAAAAAGGTGTCAGCTTAGGCGCTGTTTAGGCTGGCGCGGGAGCCTATTTTGTTACAGGATCTGTTATTACCTTAATTTAAACTTTGCTTAATGAGTTTTATTAGTAACGATATATTTTAACGAAAGTGTGTAATTATAATGTGTATATGATACTGATTCCCTAAATAAAAACTATGTTACAAATATAAGGAAAAAAAAAAACAACTATAATTTTTCTTTAAAAAAGGTATTTTTTTTGTTGCACACCTTTTGATGTTTCATTACGGATATCATCATGTCAAAAAAAAACACAACCGCGTAGAATGTATTTATTTATTTTGCAATCTTTTAAATTGCCGTGCCGACAGTCACGGAAGCTCTCCTAATTTCAGCTAGACAGTTAATGAATTTTAAATTAGGCTTATTCACAATTTTAGTGTTGCCGCATGGCCGGTTGGGTAATAATAATAATAATTATAATAATTATATTATGTATTATAACTACAACAAACGCTTTTATGTAAGAAAATCAATTTACGGTAATTTTCACGGAAATAACAAGGAACGATTTAATATTGAATGAGTTGAGAAAATAAGGTATTAATCAGAGTAAATGTGACCAATGCAAAACACTAACGCTGCTTTTATATGTCTCGAACGCATAATCGACTTATCTGTAGCAGCGCTCATTAATTTATCTCTGCTGCACTTGCGATTGCTGCACTTGCAGTTGTTATTATATTAGCACTGCACTGCCATTGCTATGACCAACAAACAATGGAAATACTTAAACGCCAAAAATGGTCATAACCATTATACCTTAGGTTTTTCAACTTTTATATGATAATATTAAAGTGACCAAGCATCACTTATTATTGCTACAAAATCAACTCATTGCCGACTCTTCATTATTCTCGAGTTTTTTTCTGCTACTTACAAACTTGACAATTTCCTCACCCGTTATCAATTCAATAAAAGTCCCGTAATATTCAGAAACACGTGTTTTTTGTGTTTCTTATTCTAGAGCTCCACAGTAATATTTATTGCACTCACAAATAATATGTCTAATGTACACGTGACCCGTAACCGATTATCATAATATGCAATCAGTAAATTAGAGAGTGTTGGGTCGGCACTTTTCTCTCTCCACACCCGAATAACATAATGGTAGTCAGTTGTTTGAAATATACACTTTCATCGTTTATTACAATATTTGTAATAATTTTCTTTATACTGCTGATAACGGGTAACCTGCGCATAGCCTTATGGTTCGAGTTGATAAGCCCATACTGGTGGGCTTTGACAGGCATAGCGATTGCGATTGGTCTTAGCGTTGTTGGAGCTGGCTGGTGAGTGGTAATCGAGATGTGGCAAAAAGATTGTATATACGCAGATTAAGGAATATTTAGGATTGTCATAATTACGATTATATTCGTGACGCAAAGTTACTAAAAGCGTAACGAGCCAACAATTTGTTCAACTAGCAGAATGATGGTTGAAATATTAATACTCATTCCGTATTGTCGTCGACAGGGGAATATTTATCACGGGGTCAAGTATTCTCGGTGCAGCCGTCAAGGCTCCACGTATCAGGACGAAAAATCTCATCAGGTGAGTGGCTTATGTTGATGATAGTGGTTATATCATTCATAACGTAATGGCTACCAATTGATCTTTTTCATTCTTATTTATATCTAATTGAAACAGTATCATTTTTTGTGAAGTGGTGGCAATATATGGTGTCATTATGGCGATAGTGTTTTCTGCTAAGCTGCAATATATAACGGACGTTGAACTTGATCACGTTGCAAATCGATTTACTGGTACATTTGCTTACTGATATTTATGTTATTTATTTAATTTCACGGTTTTAAACAGTTCATTAATGACGATCTTGCGAAACAGGGTATTCGCTATTTTGGGCAGGAGTAACTGTCGGATTTTGCAACTTGTTCTGTGGTATTGCTGTGGGTATCACTGGTTCCTCGGCTGCGTTGGCTGATGCTCAGGATGCCGCTCTATTTGTAAAGATTTTGGTTGTGGAGATTTTTGGAAGTGTCTTGGGTTTATTCGGATTGATCGTTGGGTTATTGATGGTAAGTGAATAGTTCTTACTTAACACAAGCAATTTCATATGGATCGCATTAAAAAAAAAAAGGAAGCTTATAACATTAAACTGTTAATAAGGAGGCAAATGAGATGGTGTTTTCAAAACCGTTACAGTGCATTGATAATATTTTATTATTGATTTGTCTAGATCGGAAAGGCTCAAGAATTTGCTTAATTACCCGAAGTGGTATTCTTACACAAGCATTCGTCTCAGCTACTGCCCGAGTCAACAATTACCCTTAAGCGCTGAACTCAAGTCGAGAACGTTATGATGACAGTATGAAGCAGCATACTACACTGGGTTATATATACATGTATTATTAAATTTATGATCACAAGTGCCATCTCCATACATTGATAAATAATTTTATTTATCTTAATGACGAACCAGTGTGAATGTCACCACATTATATGGATTGTTATTTTATTGAAACCTACTGTCATCGGTGTTATAGAACTTCTAATTCGTCCGTTGAGATCGGAAAGGTTGCATTCAGTAATTTGGGCTAGCCATAAGGCTAGTTTCATTCCGGGGGCTGCTTTCATAATTATTAAGCTTCTTAGTTCTTGGGCTTCCGGTGATGATTTTACTTCCTAATTTGTTGGATACGTATAAAATCTTTGGTCTTTTTTTCCCTTCACTGACGTGCTGTGCTGTGCATCTTTCGAGATAAAAGCCCCTGGTACTTCTGACAAGCATATTGTGGTGCCTTTATTTAGCAACATGTCTGTACCACATATCCATCTAGTAAAAATAAAACATGACCTTAAGAAAAAGTTTTTGTGGATCATGTTCACTCGGAAAGCAAGATGATCTAGGTTATTTTGTCCCGTACGAGAGTTTCACCATTTAGAAGCTTGGCGGGCAACTCACTGGCACTCAGCAGAGTATCAATACAGTCATGATATCCTATTCTTGAATTATGGTGAGACTATTAACAAGTTCAATTGTCTATCTACGGTTAGACACACATCTTAATACGTGGGGCTCTGCGGTAAATTCGAGATGGATATGGAAATGGACAGAACATGTGTTTCAAGCAAGGAGAAGGATTCATGGGTTTATTTGTTTTCGGATACAATTATAATATTATTGAACCAACGAACACTCAATTCAACAAAATACATACACAAGCCATGTATCATGGTATAATCATTACAATTACCATTCGACTAAAAGTCCATTCATAAATATACATTTCTCTAGATTCTCATTTAGATAAATCCAATAACGATTGTTCTTCAGCACTGTCATCCGATTCCATGTTTGAATCAATAAATCTCCGAATGACGTCTGGATTATTGGAATCCAAATTTAGATCCTCTAATTGAACATTCTGATCTACGCTAAGTGTGCTGCCATGAGCATTGTTCTCATGTCTTGACACGGAGACTTTATTACTATCCATTCTATTCGGTGGTGAAACTGACGATCGTGATGAATTAATTGTTCCAACAAAATTGTCCGGCTCGGCATCTCGCCTTCTTAAATTTTCGTTTCTCCATCGTTCCCGGGATGGAGAATTGTTCACCCTGTTAGATCGACAAAAGATAGGTTTAAGAAATCGATCATCAAAAGACATAAACCAGTGAGTTTTGTCAGCGGCCGTGGCAGCTGTAGGTGTTTGGTGAGCTGGCAATAATTCATCGTTACTCTCTATTGAAATAATTGAATTCTGTGAATAAGAATGCTGGAGATGCTCATAGAATCTTTCTGTCCTATGAGAAAAATCGTCCCTGTATCTTTCTCGAAAGTTACCCCTCTCAAATCTGTCGTCATCCTCGCTGTCTCCGCTGCTTTCGTCTTCTTCTACTCCAACACTTATTTTCAGTATTTCCAACATTCGACTAGTCATTCCTCCAAATATTATAACACTCAGCACAACTACCACCAGAATAGTCGTACGTATTGCAGGCACATGTGGACCAGTCAATCCCGCCGTTAGAGCAAAAGCTACTGCCCCACGCAATCCTGCCCAGAACAACATCACTTGATGTGGTCGAGTCAGTCGTTCTTCCTGGCCCCTATATGCTGCCATCATATTCAACAACTTGGATAGTGAAAACACTGAGCAATATCTAGAGACACAGATAAACAGCTAAAAGCGGAGAATTGGTGCGATCAGTAAAAGCGTAAAGTATAAAACATACAATGTAACAATAGAACTTCATAGTTGTAACTTTCTCAAATCAATATACTTACAGATGTGAACAATATAAAGAAGGGATGATACTCAAGGTCAGTGGCAGTAAATAGAGTAACGCCTAGATATACAAAGATGAAGTTCTCCGATAATTGCGCTAGCACGTGAAACATATATTTTGTAGTTCTTTTAGTTTGTAATGACATATTGTCATAGGCATAGTGCTTCAGTGTTATTCCACAAAATAAAAGCGAGACGATGCCTATTATACACATAAGGAGTAAGTAACCCGTCTCGAATATATGAATCACCGTTTACATATATATAAAAACTAACCGGATGTCTGACAAGCGTTTGAAAAGAGGTACGAGCTGTAAGCTATTAAGCTTATCAAACATGACTCAATAGACGGAAATCGATGAAGGCCCGAATGCTTCAACATGTGCGGTAAATGAGTTAAGTTTAAGCCAAGACAGAACAACAACGATCTCGAGTTGTTTTTTATACGTTAATATTTGCACAGTTTTAAAAAATGTGGCATAATAAAAGGATATCAAAGCGCAGAGTAGTCCGGAACCAACTCCAATGATCCAGGATGCAGTAAACACACCACAAAACATTCCAATACCGCGCGCTATGTTGGATAAATGTAAATCTTGACCGTGGAATTGCTTCAATGTTCTATAAAACGAATGTAAAAAGTAGGTGCAATAACGAATAACGAATAATAGTCAGCTGTTGATATGGTGCGTATATACAGCAATACCATAAATACATACATATACACATGCAGTATGTTACTTACTCGTACAAAACGATGGCAACAGCATCGTTAAGTATGCTCTCGCCAAATATAATTGAATACAGCTTGGGATCAACTTTAAGCGTTTGGAATATTGTAAGAACAGTGACCGCGTCAGTTGCCGAAAGAATTGCACCAAATATCATTGATTCCAAAAATGATATGGACACAATTCCCAATAGACCCAAAAATCCGACGAGTAGTCTACTCAATATGAACACGCGTAATGATTACTTTTGAACAGCATTGCACCAACAAACACATGCGAATACTAACCCAAGCACCAAGGAGGATATAATGGTTCCAAAGAATGCAAAAGTGAGGATAGTGCCAAAGTTCCTAAAGAAATTGGACTAATAAAGAATGACCACATTCGTACAAAACCTCGATTAGAGAACATGAAAAACATTTGCTTGGTTATTTCTATAACAATTTTACCCGTTTAAGCTCATATCCCGAATTTAATATGATCGGTGGTAACAGCAAGTTGAAGAAATACGCATGATTAAAAGTAACCGTATTCTGAATTATAATCCCGGGCGAAACTCGAATTATTAACCCCACAAACATCCCTGTATCATCAAAATAATTCGTAAGTCTTTTGTCACAAGATATCAATTCTCTCACCAAATAAGAGAAACGAACCAGCAAATATCGAAACCACAGTCTCGTGAACGGCTCTTATTCTCTTGATCTGTAAATAATAACTTGTCCATAGTGCACCGATAAGTAAAGTAGTCAGTATAAGTAATGCCCAGCTCAAGTAGAGTTCTTCTTCTTCAACGTCAGAGTCTGTCATTATCTTTGCTCTCGAGGAAAGAGAACAAACAATTGCTGCGGCGTGCTTTATGTGAATGGTGTGTGAAAACTGGTTATTCCCGATGGGGAAACTCGGATTGATAATGAGCGAAAATCAAGTAATGTTTAACAACCCAAGTTATTTCTTATTGTGGATTGACTATTATGACTTGGCGTCGTTTTGGTATTTTATTTATTTATTGCTTCGTTTGCCCGATGGTTTCTCTTCAACGCACTCACTAATACTAATACAAAGATTTCAGGGGGATTTCGCTTACTATTACCGGATTCTGTTAAGGGCGACCAATTGAATTACCTAAAACGTAACGAATATTTACAATGAACCCTTAACATCTCATTATCTTTTCCAGCCACACCATAGCAATGATGCCCATTTTATGATTTCCACATTCATACCGTGGAAGGATTATATATGTATAGAATAGAATTTGTAGTGAACATGAATATAATTATTATGATAACAGATTACAATAAATAGTTGCGTTAATATGATTGTCGCCATCTACAAATGAAAGCGGCAAACTAACTCGGCCTCGTGATTAAGAAAAGTTTAATATTAACGAAACATTATTATTATAATTATGAATTACTGTTAATCAACCTAGTGACCGTTTGCATTGTAGTCTATCCCCTTTTTTTTCTTTTGAAACCGCTCAAAAAGATCATTTAGATTCTGCAAAAGCGACTTTGCTTCACCTTCGTCGTATTTATCGACATCATCCTTCCGAACGTACACTGTACCCCATGGTTTAATAAAACTCCCATATTTTACAGAAGCGTCAAGTTCATCGGAAGGTGTTACAGCAACATAATAATTAGCGTAAGACCCATTCCAACCAGTACCAGTCGTCATGCTCAGACCAACTGTACGTGCCTTTTGCGAGATGATGAGGACGATAATTAACAAAGGGACTTTTCCAAATTTATTAAATGACCAGTATCTCGGTTGACTTACCACATAGAACAAATTCTCCATGACCTTTCCCATTATCCATGGCATATGACTTCTAACAATATTTGTAGCAACGACGCCAGGGTGTGTGGTGAAACTTTTTATATTCCGTCGATTAAGAAAATCATTCATCGCGATAGCAATTATATCAATAGCATACTTTGAGCTTTCATAGGGACTTTTGCTTTTAGATATAATAACAATCAGTAAACGCGTTTTTTTATGTGAGATCAAGTTGATTGAGATGGACGCCAAACCAACCTCTGACATCCTTGAAAATCTTTAGGATCATAGTCACTACGCCTGCATGTAAGAGAACTGGTCCAAATTACTTTGCTCTCACCCGAGACTGCTAGTAAATCAACAAGTTCGCGTATCTATAAGAGCCTTCCATTAGTTTCTAAATACTCCTCCTCCGTAAAAATTTCATTTACATACCATGACATAATGACCAAATAAATTGGTCGCAAATGTCTCCCCAATCTCTTCGCTCGTAAGCTTTCCAACTGGTTGCACGATACACTGAGTTTCGGTCAGTAAAGCTATCTGGTCGGTAAACACTTGTCTGGCAACAATACTCCAGTCGATGAAGTCACAAGAGAGAATACCGGCATTACAAAATAAGAGATCGATTTTCTTATATCTAAAAAAAGTCATTAACATTCAAGCACATACAATCTCGCATGCAGAAAACAACAGATATTTATTATATCTTCTCACTTTTTCTTGATACCGTTGCAAAATTCAAATACAGATCTCACGGAGCTGGTGTCAACGAGAGTTACCACAATATCCCCATTTGGATATTTTGTTAACAAAGTATCGCGAGCTCGTATTGCTCTTTCTTGGTTCCGACAAGCAAGTATAATCCGAATAGGCTCGTCAGGATTTCGCTCAGAATGGTCAAGCAATCTCTGTGCAATACCGAAACCAACACCGCTGTTTTGGCCAAAAAAAAAACTTAGAGGCGTGTCGCTAGAAACTTGAATGAGGAATCGGTGTAATATAAATACCTATTTGCTCCGGTGATAATAGCTGTTTTAAGTTTTGGAGTAGACATATTAGAACGAGATCGTTTCTGCCGTTTTCTATATTTTTTATGTTTCTTCGAGTTACTCATCCCAGCCCAGATGAGGTCAACATACGCTACTGTAGATCTAAGCTACGTGGCTATTAATAACTGTGCCATGCGATATTCAAATATTGTTGCTTTAAAAAGTCGGTCGGAAGTTGCCCGACAAACGGGTCATTTCACATGTTACTGATTTTACTTCACAAATAGAAAAATCGAATTTATATCAATTGCTAGCCAATAGCGAGAACATCAAAATGCTGGCGGTTATCCTCATGTGACGCCATCGCGACATCCAGAGTATTTGTTCCAAAGCTTTCTATTAACAATAAAGTCGAATATGCACAGTCTAATTAAACTTTTATATTTAGAACTAGTGTGTCGAAAATATATTCCAGCGATAGGACATGTACAAGTAGCTGCTTTCGACATCAATTGAGACGGACATGTTACTAAGACTGTATTTAACTGTTCTCCGGTCAAAAATTAAAAAAAAAAAAAAGAAGAAAAACGCTCTCTCAGCGCGACTAGTAAATTGTCAACTTTGCTGTAATTACCAAGCAGTTCTTGATAATAAACAGCAAAGTCCTTGATTCTGTCAATCGTAATTTTGTACCGAATAAACATTGAACAGAATGTGCTGCAACAAAACCAGATGGTATTCTTTTAATTTCATTTTCACCTAACACCGCGGAATCAGAAGTGGAGATATTTTGCTCTAATTCTAGCCCTTGGAGTCTAACTCTAACTTCCATTTTTCGTAACAAGCTTCGGGGTCTCTTAATCTTCAAAAGTACCAATTCTCCGTCCATACTTGTCATGAGCGTTTAATAACCATCGCGAGGAACTTTCATTATTTTTATTCAAAGAGTATGTTCATGTTATATCACGTGACTCTGCGGAGTTCCGCCTAATGTTACCCTAACAGCTTTGCTCGTCATTAACGTTGAAAATTCGGCAGCGGAAACGACTATTATGTTCTTATTTATGACGCATGGGAAAAAACCACGCAATCGATAATGCACGAGATCATATTGTCCGACTGTTACCATTGCTATCAATAGAGAACACAATACATATGCCCACAAACCTGTACTACTAGTTTTGATCCCCTTGTTCACAAACATATCTCCTTTTCCTCCATGTCAAACGTGGGAGACTACACTGCAGTTCGCGAAGACATTAAAAAGATTCTTCCTCAACCAGGCTATGATGATGGCTCAGCAGGGCCAGTATTAGTGAGATTGGCTTGGCACGCTTCAGGAACCTACGATGTGCATTCAAAGACAGGTGGCAGTGATGGAGCAACAATGAGATTCGCCATGGAAGCGAATGATCCTGCTAACGCTGGATTAGACAAAGCGAGGGCTTTCCTAGAACCGATTAAACAGAAACATCCTTGGATAAGCTGTAGGTTACGGAATTTAGATGGAGTAGTAGGGGTTTCGGTCTCGCTTTAATGATATGAGAGAGAATTTGGTCCTTTGTATAAAAAACATAATAGTAACTATCGATACCACAAATATATCTTGGAATTTTATCTCGCACAGATGCCGATTTATGGACATTGGCGGGAGTTGTCGCTATTGAATCCATGGGCGGTCCCATTGTCCCTTGGAAACCAGGACGTAGTGACAAGACAGCCGAAGATAGTTGTCCGCCAAATGGTCGTCTTCCCGACGCTGCTCAAGGCGAACAACATATACGTGACGTTTTTTATCGAATGGGGTTCAATGATCGGTAATTTAATTATATCTGTTCATCTTGAGATGCATTTTGGATATAGATTTTCCTTACCTATTCTATATGCTTGCTAGAGAGATTGTAGCTTTAATTGGAGCGCACACAATTGGTCGCTGTCACGCGGATCGTTCGGGGTTTGTGGGACCTTGGACTTATACGCCTACACGCTTCTCTAACCAGTTGTACGTATTTCTCTGCAATTTGCGCAACGACAATAATCTCTGATGACACAAAAAACTCACTATCAATCTATTAATAGTTTCATTCAACTTGTCAAACAGAATTGGACGCCCAAGACAGTGAACGGCCAGACACAATACAAAGACGATGCCGATGAGCTCATGATGCTTCCGGCTGATTTGGCTCTCATTAAGGATCCCAAGTTTAAAGAAATCGTTGACATTTACGCTCAAGACAAACAAGCTTTCTTCAACGATTTTGCATCAGCATTTGGAAAACTGTTAGAACTCGGTGTTGATCGAAGTTCACAGGCAAAACTGTAGCCATTAAAATCCCTCCCCATAGTCGACATCAAAAACTAAGATATTAATGCTTAAATCGAGAATCCATCTTGGAACTTTAGAATTTCGATGCTAAAAACCCACAATAAACTAATATTATTTCCAGAATTATTATGATAGAATTCAAACAAATGCTTTATTAACCATATCTTACACACCAAGGTCTTATTTCATACGTGGTGCAGGCGTAGGTTGCTGTGCTTCTCGCCGAGCAGCATCTTGCAACAGCGCTGTATCCACTGCATTCGCCGGTAACTGTACGTATCGAACTACTGATCCTCTTATAAAACAATTCTTTACCGCCATCTACCGAATACAAACGAGAGAATTAGCCGTTTCCATTCAAGAATAATGAAATAATTTCTATCCTCCTACCATATGAGGATACTTTTGCTGGTCGACGACGCGAATGTTGTCCAACTTTATGTTTAAAAATTGATCTACAGACACTAGGGCCCCGGTAATAGCAAGATCGTTCTTGAGCTCTACCGTCACGACCTGCCCAACAAGTGTCTTGAAGAAGGAGTAGAATAGCTATGTTGAAGTATGCATGTTGCTGATTAGCATTTGATAAAACTGGGGATTACTCGATAACATATCAAAGTTAGGTTGTTCCTATTGTGTCGGTCAGGGGAAGGAGCACAAGTTCAGCCTGGACTTTAGAAGCTGCAAGATTACTCACATGCACTTCGCACGTACCATTATTTGGGTAGAGTCGTGACTACGAAACGGTAAACTTTTGGGAAAAACACTTTGGGTCACACACCTAAATGTTGAGTTCTGCTGCGCCGCAAAAAGGTTTCAAATAAAAATTACACCAAACACGTAAAAATTCAGTTCTGCCAATACCAATCAAGTACGCGACTCCACCAATTGTATCGAACCACATAGTTTGATATGCTTTATTTTGCGCTCGATCCTGTTTATTACTATGCTTTGACTGTCAAATATGCGGAATAAAATATGCACATCTTAACGGTATGGTTGTAATAAATTAATCATTTGCGGAACTTTAATCGATCTGTAAATTAAGTTTCACGTTAAAGAAGACAAATCGTTCAGTAATCAATCTGCTAAGATTGCCAGTTATTTCCAATAACCATTAATTTACAAAGATAATTAAAGAAAGAACCCCCAGCAATTACTTTTTTTCCAAATCTTTGGCTGCGGTCATCAGCCTATCACCCGAGACGAAAGCAAAGGTCCCCCAGGTGAGAAGCTTCGATGAATAATAGTATTTATTGACTATGTAATTCCCTTCCTACTAATCAAGAATGTCTATACAGTCGGAAGACACGTACGACGCGTGTAAATTATCTAAAACCATTGTCACGAGACTCCAAATATACACTTAAGCATGATTTCCACGGCTGATTGTAACCCTTTTAATTCCACTAGTCTATGAAAATTTGATGGAATCTGGTCTAATAAATGTTTTTCATCCAGCAATTGCCCTGTTCGTATAACAAATTAATATCTATTCGCATAGACAATTCAATAACAATCTAACCTCGAATTTAGTTCTCTATTTAAACACTCACACTGCTTTGGCATCCTTGGATACAATTGTACCTCAGGAAATATTTTCCCTTTATCCGATACTTTGTTTCTCCAGAGAAATATTACATCGGGATGTTTGGGACTACGGACATTAGACCACAAATGTTGTCAACTGCCAACAATACGAATAGTTTGAACAATACCTATTTACGGTGAATCGTAGTAAAGGGCATATTTCGTTGCCCACGTCAGAAGTTCTTTCGATCATGCTCCTTCCACGAGTCAGGTCACTATACGTGATCAGATCAGGGTATTTTCCTTTTAGAGCCTCAAACAGCAAAGTGCGTTGGTAGTTCAATTTCGCGTATTGAACAAAGCCCCTAAAGAATCCAAGAAGGTTTCTTTCGTTCTCAACACTACGGATAAGAATATAGGTCTGTATAAAAATAATTCTAACTGAAAGGGCGTTTATACATTCATTTTATTGCATCCATCAAGAAACCCATTCTGTGGACACTGACCTTTCTACAAACTTTGCTATTTCTGCTTTTATGCTTGCACCGATTTTTATTTTTAGCGTTTGAACGCGTAATTCGCTTTCATCGACATCAAAATTAACAGAAAAATACAATCCATACGAGGTACCCGAGAGTATGTAATGTCTTATATGACCTATATACACAGCAGAATCGCAAGAAAAATATATTATATGTAGAGATATTAATATGCGCCTCTTTATTAATCAACAGAAATAAATTTACTATTACGTACGTCCACCAGCAGCTGATACTAATTGATTGGTCACCTTGGTAAATTGTACCTTGGTAAAGCTAGACAGCTTTTTAATCTGTAAACTCAATCCAGTTAATTAGAACACTCAATGAATTCTTGTGAAATAAAATATCATATTACATCAGCATCGGTCACTGGATTTTCCTTTTCATCGAGTAAAAGTCCGGAAGACCCATATTCTTCCTCAGATTTTAGATTTATTGATGATCTCAAAGCATGATCATTTATTTGTATTAGGTGTTGTCTATACAGGGTCGTACGCTAAGGATACAAACAACGGTTGAACGAATATCACTGCTCAACTCGGCGAGATTACATCAAAACCAAGGATACATAATGTCATTTGTTGGGTTAACGAGTGCTCTTTCTTTTTTTCTCTCGTTATCGATTTTAGTTTGCAATTCAATAATCTCTGATTCCAAGGCTTTTATCTGAGCTAATACGCGTGACCTTTTCTCATGGTTGTCCTCGTTCACTGAGCTTGTATTCAATCTCCGCCGCTTGTATTTACGTTTTCGTAAACTGTTGGAGGACATTGGCAACTGTCAACGAACACGTAATGCGCAAGCACAAGCAAAAAAAGACTGCTAATAAATTAAAAAATGGCTGGTTACTATACAACGCATCCGGTCACGTGTTATACGAATTAGAGTCCAATACTAAGCCACAAGTTGTAATGCGCACTCGAGAGTTAACGTCGCGATTTATTTCAGGGAGGTTATCAACAATTACAATAGTGATAGAAAACTCGGCAGAACCAGACAGTGTTCTGAATGCATAACATCAAGGAAAACATACAAGTAAATTACACACGGTAGGTAGTAGCAACAATGTATTACACATTATTTCCTATTGTTACTTATTAGAAGATATGTTCTCTTTCAGATGCCAGCATCTATGATTAGCATTTTTGTCCATTAAAATGTCTAAGTTTAATTTCTGAAAACTCGCATTTTTTTGTGCCTAATTCCTGCCATGCCTATACCGCTCGGACATATTTGAACCATCCTCAGCAGATGCCTGATAAGATTTGAATATTGGCGCATGTTGAGTAGATACCGATGCCTGTGGAACCCGTGATACGGAAATGATGGACTCGTCATCACTGTAATCAGATCCTGCATCACCAGCACCAAATGCATCAAGAGTTCTTTTTGAAGACGATCTACGTTGGACTGCACGTGGATTCGGAGGAGCATTTTGTGCTCCAGCGAAAAAGGTTGAATCCCTAGAATACATTGATTGCATCTTGTACCGCCCATTAGCCGTCTTATTCTTCGTAGTTCGCATATCATCTTCTGCAAAATTATCAATGCCAAGATACATCGGTTCTGTTGTAAGGAAATTGTCATCATCCTGGTTGCTTATGTAGGATCCATTAGAATCCCGTGGAGATTTGGCGGATACAGCATCGCCATTTAGCATGACTTCGGGATTACCTGTGCCTTGTTTAAGAAGATCTCTTGCCGCAATAGCCAAATCTAATTTAGCATTATGACCCGAATCATTATCAGACATCTTTCCCTCACGTAACTGACGCTCCGGTATGGGAACTACCACTGCTGAAGGCGGAAAAGTGGGGGGAGATCGTTGATCAAACGAACTATTGTTGTACTCATCAGAATAGTAATTTCCGTCATTATTCGAAAATCCTCCGTTTTGATCTGTGTTTTGCGCTGTGTTATAGTCGGTCATCATTCTCTGGTCAACGTAACCTTCTTGATCGTTTACCCTATTTGATGCTTGTACACTATTCACATAACGAGCTGACGCTGGTTCCTGAATGTTGTTGCTGGAAAATCCAGTATATGGAGCTGAGAACGGATATCCACCATTACTAGTCCGTTTCTCTACATTCAAGGATGTTGCATCATTATATACACTTGGGGCAATGCCAGGTCCGCCTGATTTATATCCACCTGACTGCTTTTTTCTGCGAGAACGGATTGCCCAGAATGCAAGGCCCAACACGGCTACTAGTCCAACAACACCACCGGTAATAGCAACTTTAATTAATGTGTTGCTTTTTGACCCACTTTCCGTGGTTGCTGTACTTCCTGCATCTGATTGTCCGTCCGAACACACGTTATTATTGCAACTACCTGACAAGCATTCAATATCACTACTGCACGGTGAATCGTTCGCTAGTTTTGCATTACAAAGTTGACTGGTAGTGTTACAAAAGCTGTTTGTATCAGTGCATGTCAGATTACCTGGAGTCGTTGCGTCGGGAATACAAGGAACAGGGACTGAAGTTGGAGACGAAGATGGCTGTATTGCAGAGGACTGTGAAGTAGATATTGTACTAGACGGCTGTAGAGCTGATTGCGAGGCGGTGTCAGTAGGGACAGCGGGTGGAGTGGTTGTTGCTGCAGGTGTTGGGACAGGTGTTGGGACGGGAGTTGTTACGACGGGGGTAGTAGTAACAGCTGAGTCGGCTAGCGATTATATATCAATGTCGTTTGACAATAGACACAATCACGTAGAGGTATCAGTTGGATTAATACATTAAGCATAACCAATTTTAGGTTATTAGCGACATTGGAAAAGAGCAAAGAAGAAGAACAAATCATCAGTAATAATAGGTATAAGTAAATACACTACAAATACATCAATACGATCAGTTAATATATAATAGTTACTTGGAGCAGGAGCAGGAGCAGGAGCAGGAGCAGGAGTAGTGGGAGCGGGAGCGGGAGCAGGAGCAGGAGGAGAAACATTGGGGTCCTGAGGAGCAGCGTGTACGAGTAAAGTTAGGGCCGTCAAGGCCATTATCAACTGAAGCAAAACGACCACAGCAGATCTCATTTTCTTGAAGAAATGATCTATTAAAATGCCCAAGGCCCAAAAGTGAATAAAGTTATTAGAGAATGTATTAAAAGCTTTGTTATTATGTTGGAGATTATTCAAAGTAGTTACATAATATAAATTCTACGTGAGTATTATTAGGCTACAATATATAATAAAGAGTGCGGGATGTATATGAGAGAATCGGTAGGGCTACGTTTAAGGATGGAATGTAGCGGGAGAAGTAGCCGGATAAAGAATGCGGAGGTGATGGTGGGGAAGAATAAAGAGCGGATTTAGGGACTTGGGCAAGAACTGAAGGTCAAATAGCGGTGTAAATTACAGATGGGAATGAGTTAATGGTGTGCGATGCATAGTTGTTATACTGTTAATTTCGGCAGTACATTTTCCCATGATGTGTGGTACAGTGACTGTATTCATTTAATTATTATGTGTATCAGTTTTCAGGCATAGAATTCCGTTCGGGGATATATCACATGACATGTATTACTCATCCATAAATATCAGTTACAAAAGGATTTCAGGAGTGTGACATGCCGCACTAATTCATATAACAATAATGGTAATAATTCGCTTAAATTTCACTCGCTGCGGAAAAGGTGTTAAACTATATATGAGTTTGTGTTAATGACATATTTGGAACAGTGAATTTTTCTTTAAAGTTACGACAATCCAAACCAAAAGGTTAACAGTTTCTTTTTTTCGAATCATAATAGCTGACCTAGCAACTACAACACAATCTAGACTTAATGTTGCCACCAAACCTTAGTAATAAACACGAGATTTTGCTCAAATTCAGTTTAATAAGTTCGCGATAGTCCTGTAATATGTACCGTGATACACTGTATTTTAGCATTTATTCTGGGGTATATTTTGAACACTTTTTAAACCACTCAAGAATTTCATCGGATCTTTTGTCAAAAACTTACTTAACTGTTCGCTAAGTGTTTCGTGTATATTAATTAAACGTAATCAATCTTACACGATTTCTAGTCAGAATGTTACACAGAAATTATGTAGTCAAACATAACCGTAATGAGCGGCTACTTATAAAGTCATTTGATCTACTGGCTGTCTTTGCTTCTGCCAACTTGATAATTATTTTTGCGCAGACTTAATCAATGGCATATGTCTTGTTACTTTGTAAATCTTTGCTCACCTGTTGCCGGTAAGCGTCATAGTGTACGCGTTGACAATAGCATACGACAAAGCCAGGTGTGAGTGCCAGAAGTGTTGTGTTATATTTTACGTTTCGCAAAGTTATACATAAACGCGCGAGAATAAGCAATTGCACAAAGCATGTGAGGGGCAAAGTTTGAAAAACCCTACGTAATTACCTCAGCTCCGTAATATTTGGCGTGTTGTTGTTTAGCAGATAATTCCTCCTGGGCTTCTTTTTGGCATAATTTTCCCTTTGCCGGGCCTAGCAGTTAAATTATATTTGCACAAACCATTCTTTGTGTTATCGTGAAACTTGTGACACAAATAATTATAAGACTGTTAGTAATTTGTCAGCATACAATATAAAGAAAATAATTTAGTGAAAGTTATTAAAAAGATAATGTTGGGTTTGTACTCAATGTGATTAAGATTTATGATTTTGTAGAAGGGCGATCAAATTGATCCGATCATGTAATAGCATAGCGAATAGCCAACATTAATATTTAGTGCGCGTGTTTTACAGATTCGAACGCAAAATATCGATATTGTGAGTTTGTTTGTAGGCTGTTGATACACCGACAGTCCCATTAATTCGTTAAACGTAAGAGAGTACAAATCACAATTTGGGGAGAAATACTTCGTCTTTATTGAAAGCTGCGTACATTTATAAATGATACTGATTTGGGAGAATGTATCCGACGGCAATGTTCGATGATCACTAACGGTTAAAAACTGCTAACCGCGATTAAATTACCTCACTAAATTTCTTTGAATCAATTACCTTTATCAACATTACGGCATTATTTTTTATAGCGTTTCAAAGATACTTAATATCCTAATTGATAACATTTTTTGTTAATTCAAACAAACAAACTTTGGTCTTTATTTGCTTATGAGATAGCACGAGCCAATTGACATAATTTTTTTAGATGTTCTTACCGCTTCAAGTTTGCATGTAGAATGTCTCATTGATTGCTATTTTACCTACAACTTAGTTAATTATCGTAATAATATAGCTTATAAACGAGGTCAATATAACAACTTACAAATATAAAGGCTTCTTTTTTCACGTCTATTTTCTATCAGCTTGCAAAAAAAACCGCCAGTTTTCCTACTACAACATGGTTTATTTTGGCAAAAGTGAAACAATAACTCGGTCAATGCAAAATGGCTCATCACGTAAGGGTCCGTATCATTTCACCGAAAATTATTTCACCGACGTAATATTTCACCGACAATCATTTCGTCGACAATCATTTCACCGACAATCATTTCACCGACATATTCACCAACATTATTTCGAAATTATCCTTTTTTGGTAGTGTTGTCGGCGAAATGATTGTCGGCGAAATGATTTTCGGTGAAATGATTGTCGGTGAAATCTTACGTCGGTGAAATGATTTTCGGCGTTATGATCGTCTCCCATCACGTAACATGTGCTTTTGGCATTTCCAATTAACGTTAAGCAAAGGATCGATTTTTGGAACAAAGATAGTAAATATATATGCTCGTAAGAATAATTTCTTCAACAGAATTTTAATGAGTTTGCTAATTAGAAAATTGTTTACAAACCCGACGTAATATTTTCCAGGCATGCAACAAACAATGTACAGCATGTTACCTTGCTGCGCTAGACACCAGTCAGTTTACGAAAAGTAAACTATGGTAAACCGTTCAATAGCTTAATTGCTCTTATTCAGTAGAATTTATACGTTGTTCGGTGACAGACATTCGGAACACCCATTCAGGTTGAGTTGCTAGTAAAGCATGTTAACTATGCTAAGAATGTAAAATAAGTAGTGAATAACGTTGACGTTGTCTTGTGCCAAGCTCAATCTCTCTCTTCATATTGGTAATCTAAAGCAGTGTCTTTCAGGAAAGCAATTTTGCGTTATAAATTGATTGTTCTGTATACAACTAGAACCGCTTTGATTGTTTTCGCGATACGTTACGAAAAATTGGGTGGAGGTGTTATTGAGACAAAAGCTCTGGCATTTTGTCTTTTTTGAATACACGGGAACAAATAGAAATAATGATAACTGGGTTTTTTTCTAAAAAAAAACTGGTCGTTTATAGTGCGGAACGTAAATTACAACATAATTTATTATAAACTTACATTGCTTTTCACACAAACTTGGACAGATAATAATGCTCCTATATAGACGCAGAGTCGAATAAACAAGACGAGCTAGTATCTTCTTTTACGTGGGGTTTCTACCAGAACCAGATTTTTAAGTCTATCGTAATTATTTTGGGAAAATTACAGCGAATTGAGACAAGAGCTGTTTGAAACTAGAACTACATCATAAAGGCCAGCGACAAATCCAAAGTCGGGATTCCCAGACATAATAACTAAATAATTGCGGACAATTGCTGTACTTCTCCCTCCCTCTGTCAAAACTGTAATTTAATGTCCGGTTCTAATACGCGTACTATAAAAGACAAAGTAAATTACTCAATGCACGTGTCGTCACAATATTCTATTCCATTTCTACAATCCTCAAAAACAAGAGATCGGAACAATTCCCCCAAGTTCTGCGTGGTTTAAACTGAAACCTCTATTATGCTATTTGGAGAGCCGCCGTTTTCGGTGAATGAGATGAGTTTTTCTGGTAGAATGCCATCGCCCGTATGTCATCCGCGGAAAATTTTTTCGAGCGTCTTCGGCTGCACGTTTATAAGGTGCTTGGTACTCATCTTTGAGGCATTTCCAAAATGTTGCTCCTAACATCTGTCGTTTTTTACCATCAAGGCTTTCATCATTTGCCAGTTTATTTACGAATTCGTTAAAGACGGCCATGAACAAGAAATACGCATTGGGAGGACGTCGCAGTTTTGGTTTGCTTTCTGATTTGCCTTCAGGAATTGAGTCTTCTTCGCTTTTCTTCACATATTGTAATAAGTTTCGCTTATTAAACAAAATGTCGGGAATTTTCAGAAGAATGGCGCGGCTGAGTGAATAGTAGTCGGTGGCTATTGTGTGGTCAAGAGGCGAGTCGTTAAAATACTTTGAGAGAATTTCGCTTATGTTATTATCAAGTGATGAGTCCATTTGAATGTTGTGGACGATACTGTTTTCTACAACCCCAAGTTTTTATCCTGTTGACGGACGTTTGTCGGAATGTAATACAGCAGGAATGTTTACTGTCCTGTCGTTGTTTATCGGAGAGCCGGAATTCAAATAAGTACTCAATTTCGATTGTAGTTGAAATTAAAGAACATCTTGGAACTTGGCAAATAATTGTTTAGTTCATCTCGTACATCCAGGATTTAACAGTTAATCTTCCGTGGTAAGCGAATATTCGTCGTTGTCCAGTTTGTGCCCGGAGCATCGGAGTCACGGAGCTGCCAATTTTGCAGCATGTACCGTATTACACAAATGTAAATTTGACTTTTAAGAGAAAGTTATTTATCCGTCCCGATGATTATTCATTTTTCATCAATATACCAAATTGATTAATTTCAATAATGAGAGTGGTAAACCGTTTTTATGTATAGCTTGATCACCTGATGCAATAATTGCGTCACATGTGCACAGACAAAGGACGAGGTGTCCCTCAATTGTGAAAAAAGTTTAATACGATCTGTATATATTTCGATGTGTGCTGATATGAACAAGGTACAAATTCGACTCTTTATTGTGATGATACCAAGACTTTGTACGATTGTATAGATGGTGCTATGCCGAGTTTTCGAATACTTTTCATACTTCTAACATCTCCCGGGAAAAAAAAAAAAAAAAGAGACTCGTTTATTGTACAGGAAACAGGTGATTTACAGCCTATTTTTATACAAATGTTTGAATTCAATTATTCCCACATATATTGTCTCACTCTTATCTTTTCTGCAGACGCACCATGATGTCACTAAACACTCAGAGATATCACATAAACCTCTGCACTCTTGCCATACGGCCTGGTTAATTAAAGATTTCAACCATAAGCCGTTTTGGTATGCCAACATAGCAAACGCCATCAGACGGCACATTAAAAACGATACCTTTGTAACCGCCTCCGAAATTAATGTCAAACTAGAAAAAACATATCCAAAGCATAAGAAAAATTGACTAATCAAGTAATTAAATTAGCAAATTCATGCCGATTCTGAAAAAGTAAAAAGAATCAATGTTCTTTCTCAGGTCCTAACGACATCTTGTAAAACTGGGAAAATTTTTTTAATTTAAAATATCACGACGCACGCCTTCGAAAGGCTCATCGCGTTAGTTGTTTTTTTTTTTTTATTTTTTACAAGCGATTAAAAAAGAAATAAACTTACCAATTTCTGTTGTCAATAATTACATGTTTTGTAGATACGTTTGGCAGCATGTAAGCGCACAGCAACAATGGATTTTATTATTTTTGCTCTAGATACAAGATTTGGGACATGCAAACGGCAAACGTTCGTTGTGTTGTATATTCAACTTTTAGATACTGTTGGCGGTGGAGAGTAGCGCTTGGATATATTATATGAGTACCGTTACGTGATTGATACGCCGTATTTTTTTTTGAATACTTGTTCGTGAGTTGTAGCAAAGTGTCATAGGAGTGACGGCAAAAGGTTGATATGTTGTTTATTAGCTTTGTATTTGCGCTTAACAGTGGTCTATATGTGGCTATATGAGCAGACACTCTTTCATTCGTTATGTGGTTGACAAACTGCGTTGTTACGGGTTTGTCATTTGAAGATTTGTTCGTAATTTGTAGGCAATGTGTGGTTGCAAAGGTTCGTTGCCTTGTATATTTTACGTTTGTATTTGTGCTTTAGGCAACGGGAGAATGATAATGGTTATGTGATCGATAACCCGCGTTGTTGCTAAGTGTTAAGGGTTCTCTTGTATGAAATAGTGGCAAAGATTTGTATTTGGCTTTCAGATAACGTATTTGACTGGGAGGAGAGGCGATATGTGTGCAACAAAAGGCGTCTCTGGTATATATTAATACGCGAATAAGAAGTGTGACTATCAACCAATAATATATTGTCTAGTGCGACGCACATTACGTCATATCATAACTTTCACGATTGTTTCCGAAATAGAATACATAACGTTTCGGAACACGCGCAGTAAAATTATCACAGTAAAATATTTTTTGCTGCTTTAATTAACTGATCTATATGATAGTTTTTTGTCACTGTGTAAGTTCAAAAGCTCGATCTGAAACGAATGGTATATAGGCGACAGTGCATTGTATCAGGATAATCTCAAGGAAACACCCACACGAACAGTCTTTGTTCGATCCCAGCATCTTTTAGACACTTTGTGGGACCCCACGTAACACTTTTCTATCATCATGTTACGCATCCGCCGTGTTTCTTGATTACAGCAGAACCACACTGTCAACATCGATGACGACATTTGGCAAAGGTTTTTTTTAGTATTGGAAAACAACGATTCCAGGAAACCTCACATTGTCAATTCTAAATTTACACCAAGAAAAAACTGATTTTTTAAGCAATTTTTGGAATAAACATTGTATGGTTAAAAGATTTCTAAAACATGTAGTTGTAACTTTCACTGACAAAAAGTCAACTAAGAAAGGCTGTTTTTGTTCTGGCGGTAAGGAAGATAAGAAGAGTTGTATTCTGTTGATGCAACTACCCAAGTATAAGCCCCTGAGTATGCATTTCGAGTACTTATGTATTATAATTATCGTGGGTCCCTCTTAACTTGTTTCCTTGCTAAACACTGGCGCCCGCTCCAAAGCGACATGACAAAAATTTGCATAATTTTTAAAATTAATTATATTATTTTCTATTTGGCAAGTAATACGTTCTGTTGATATTGATTGACATGCATATTACCAGATCTTGGACGTGGGGCTACTGATATATGATAGTAGTCTGTGGACTTGATGAAGCAAGCAATGTATGTTTCAAAATTAATGTACTTGTGATAATAAGTCATTTTTTCTTTTTTCATTGATATCAAGAAGTAATAGTAATAAACTGTAATTGTTTTTGGGCTTTGTTTTGGTGGGCCCTTTATTCAGCACAGCTACGTGGACCGCTAGAGCTGTTGTTTTTGGGCTTTGTGTGACTCCATAAATTTAAAAAAAAAAAAAAAAAAAAAAAAAAAAAAAAGCATTTGCACATCTGGTTGTTTGTCCAGGTTATTTAAGTAAACTAATTATAAGAGACAGTATCAAATACTTTACTTTTAAATATATTAATATTGCAATTTAGTCATACTCATAAAAATTCAAATATTCATATTGCGACACTTTTAGTCCAAATTTTGTAAAAATTTTTACTAGTTTTTCTGCACCATCAAAGGCGGTTTATAAACTTTGAATAATTGTTATGTGACTCATTGCTGCAAATGTGACAGACTGTAAAAGCCAGAGAACGTAAACATTTGACATGTAAGCTAAAGATGGCTGATGTGACTATAATAATATTAATTTATTGATGGCATTTTGGAAGTGCTTTCATGTGTTTGCTTAAATGATGTGGGAGAGCAATAATTGTAGTGTAATAAAAAATCAAATAATAACTTGGACATACAATTTTACACTTAATTTACTCAAGTCTTCGATCAATGTAACAAATAACCGTCCGATAAAATTCAAGAATTTAATATTATGTGATATACTACAAGTTGCGCATTTGTCGATTTTAATTGATAAATTTTTGTTCATAAAATGTTCGTCTTAGTAAGGCAAAATAATAGTAGTTTCTTTCTGAACTTCAAGAGCAACGACAAGATCGAATAAATAATTATACAGAGAATTTCAAAACAACGAATAAAGATTTTACATATTGTGTATTTTTTTGCTTGAAATTTGTCTCGTTTACTTATTGAAATTAATCGACAAAGCTGCAAGTCTTACTCACACAGGTTACATGAGAAATGATTCTTTGCTCAATTTTTTGGACAAGCTATTATAAAAGACTCCAATTTTAAAACCTTTCAACTCAGGGTAAGAAATATTTTATGACAAACCCAGCCATCAATTTCGTAAAGCATACATCAAAAACACAATTACTGGTAGACTTTCTAAAAAAAAAGTCTCCACGTTGAAATTAAGATAGATTGTTTATTGTTGAGTATAGAATTGGACAACATATATAGAATGTCATGCAATTTTTTTAAATCGCAACTTTTTTTCTCGTTTTAGTAGAACTATTATACCGCTTAATGTCAAATAATAATGTAAAATTTTATAGCAACATTTTTTATTAATATATTTAAATTAGTTATGACGACTGTTCTTCATAATTGACATCAATATATCAAAGTTTTTTCATTCCCTCATTCATGCGTGTTGCTCAAAAATCACAAATGCAATACTTCAGCCGTTTATTTTTTGGAAAAGTACATTTGAGTTGTGAGCTTAGAAGAAGGAATATTTGTATAAACATAAGCTTGTAAATTGACAGTATTCATCGTTTGCCACAATCTCTCTTTCATGTTACACGTATAAAACAAAATTTATACTTGCGTTTGTTTTTAGGTAATAATGGTATGGTTGTATTTTAAAATAATTGAAAAAAAAAATACTAATTTAAGTATTTACATTTTACTTAAAATAATTCATACTGCAGACTTGCTAAAAATACTTTAACCAATTTGGCGAAAAACGAATTTATTAAAACCAAAGGCTCAGGCATGATTAGTATAGGGTTACATTGCCATTTGCTGTAATAGCAGTTTCTAATCTATTACTATTGCTATACTAATACTCTTTATTAAAATTTTATAATATTGGAGAAAAGTCATTAACTTTTTTGGTAGAAACATGCTTTTATGAACACGTCTTCCCAATTCATTCCATAAGAATAAATGGTTGAGGTCTGGGCTTTGACCTGGCCAATCTTAGGCTTTGATCTCTGATTGTTCGAGCCATGTGGTAGTGACTCGTATGTATTAGAACATTGCCATGTTGGAAGAGATAAATGGCTTTTTTCAATTTCATGAACTGTACAGCAACACTTTTCCATACATTGTTTACTATTACTATTGATATTATGCCTACCTACTAATCTTCTAAAGACTTAGGCCATTCCAAGTAAAACACGCCCAGGTCATACCCATGTTTGACCGTGAAACAATGCAATCAATATTAAAAACTTTCAAATAGTGTCTGTGCGCCAAAACCAAGAGCAAAAAGACCATCTGTGTCTTTTGCAGTTTTATATGTCTCATTTCGTAATCTTTAACCTCATTTTCTGCCATTATTATTTTCCAACAACCGATGTTTTCTCTTTAAACCAAGCCAGGCAATTCTGCTATTCACAAGGGCCTGCATACATCAATATGGCTGTTATAACCATATCACGTAACTTCCACCTAAACGTGGACTTGCTAACAACTGTTCTACTTGATTTTCGCAAATCGCACTAAGTGGTTGCTTGTAACATTTTTTACAACCCGTTTTAACTCGTTCCGTCAATGTGAAAAGTCTGCCACTACGTCTTGCAACTCAGTTGCTTTATTTTCTTTATATTTGGCAATAACAGTATGCACAGTGTCTCTGGGACGGCTTCCTCTGTACAACAAAACACCATCCACTAATGATAAAACCACGCTCTAAATCCGTTAATTCAGGTCCTTCAGTCATTATAAACAAAAGACGCAAAATCTTGATCATCTTTATCTATAGTAATAAAGCTTAGTAATATTACATTGCTGTATAAATTTTGCATTACGTTATCTTTCAGGCAAAGCAAATGAGTGAATGTACTCGCACGCCCATGTTTTCTTTTGTTTTGGTCACGAAAACCTGTTCTTTATATTCCATTAATATTAAATAACATACTGTCTTTTATAAGTCACTTTTTCAATGACTAAGTAATAAAATGACAAGCACCTGTCAAAAACCAGCGAAAAAGCCATGTTACATTTTGAAACATAAGAGTCCGTCCAGCCAAAGGCAACGAAGATTCCAATGCGGACTATCTATATTGGATAAAACGTTGGGCAGTAGACCCACAAAAAAGGAACTGGTCGACCGAAAAGAACTCATTCCCAATGTTGCGCGGTATGTCGTACATCGGATGCTTGTGATCCCACAATTTCTTTGCGTTCCATGAAGCAATATTCCAGAGACCAGACCTAATGGGTAGGCACTGTCAGTTAACAGAATTATGATTCGGTTTATGGTCAACTAATCCAATAGAAGACATACCGAAAAGTGAGCGCCACAAAGCAAAATTTAAATGGTCACTGTCGAATACTGTATTATTCTATTGCCCAGTTATCCCATTATTATTATTCAGACAAAACCGTCCGTCCAAACACATGGTCTTCATTTAGTGTATATTTACAATTCAGCATATCGAGCAACATATGATTTCTTTGACTGGATTGGTATTAAACCTGCCAATGTAGCTAGTTAAATCTTATTACTTAATCAGAATAAGTAGTTGAAGACATCTTGTTGAGTTTGTTATTTGTTTTAGTGCAATGAATAGTACCGCATGTTCAATAATCATAATGAAGTGGCATTTTCAATTGTGGTAAGACAATAGTAATGGTAGGCATTCAAATTTATCACACGTGTTACATCATATATGCAAATATCCGATTCGTACAATGAGCGAGAATGCTTTATTGTAATTAAAATTTTTATTGGTCGGTTTTTATCAGCCTTCTTGTTTTTAATAACCTTTTTTTTTAAAAAAAAAAAGATTTTATCTAGTCTTGGCGGAGATGTGCTTATTAACCAGATTCCAATCAGATTAATAATAATAATAATAATAATAATAACAACAACAACAACAACAATAATAATAATGATAACTTGGACGTTGTGAAACCGGATGAGAGTGTCGTCATTGATATCGAGCGTCTTTGCATGAATCGTTTTCGTGAGCATATCACCAAGCATACAGAGAGTATTGACTATCGTCAACCACGAGTAGCGCTAGTACATATCTGGTCTATTTAATCTATTCGTAAACTGCTTTATTGCCCTCATCAGGAGGTTACTTTAATATCTAAATTGTTGCACAGAAAAGGGTTTTTAACATTGTAAATGAAATTTGCGGATCATTCTTTTTCAGTAACCTTAAACACATTAATAATATAACCCGTTACGTTTAATAATTCTGTTCTGCTGCAACGTAGATCTTTTCAAAAAGAAATAATCGCCAAAATTCTCATGCGGGTTTCCTTATTGGATTTTTCAAATAATGTTTCACCCGAAGAAAGACTCTGATACGATGTTGTTGTTTCACATTGACATGTCTGCAGCTAATACACAGTTTTCCTTTGTTGTAAATAATTTACTCACGAAAAACCACATACTTGACAAAGACTATACAAGAAAGAGTACCGTCTTATCTATTTATACAAACCAAGAGCAGTTTTAAGCAGCAGACGACGTTCTTATATTACATCGAATGGATTAGTCTATGATCGCAGCCACCCCTGCTGCAACATCTGAATAGGAGGAGAATCTGAAACCACAGGGATTTTTATAACTGACTATTATGGATACTTGGTCCAACACAAATCACGTTCACACGAATTCTCACAATTTAACTCGTAAACTCAGGGACTGGTACCAAGTAAACAAATCCACTAAACGGGTGGTGTTCGGTGTGTCACATTAATATCCCAGTCATTAATTTATTTGTAATCGAATGTATTCGAACCAATTGTCGGCAATCCAATAAAAACTCGATAGCAATAGATAACTATAATCATGTGAATGCATCGACGCTTGCATTAAACTAAATATTGAATCCTCGCACTTTCATATTATTTTTAGTCTTAGTTTCTATTTTGTCTATCTTTCTTGGGTCGCTTTTTTTTTTTTATTCTATTTTTAACATCCGCAAATCGGCCCCAAGATATCAACGGGCATTACAATGGGAAACCCATAATCCGTAATTCTCTGGAGCGACGTACAACGTCACACAACATCATAACGTCCTACTCATATTATCAATACAATACATAATACCCAATTGCTATAACTATGCTGTCAATTAGCTCAAGCACACCTGTCGTCTCCCCCCCTCTTCAGACAGACTTGCAATTATAGAGGGTTTCACATATCCTCTTCAAATTTTGATCTTATCAACTGTTCACGCATCCATTCTCTTCCAATTGACGGCACGAATTTTAAATGCATACACTTGCCCGCGTACTCACTGCCATTATAGCCTTGATGGCTTTGGCTATGCTGGTTCGTGCCGTACCGCAAGGAACAGGGACTGTAAGCGGTAACTATCATTTTTGCATTCAATGTATTATCAGACACGATAAACAGAAAACAAATGGGCAGAGATAACAGAGATTGGTATAGAACCGACACAAGCGTAATTACTACTTGGAGCGATATCTGAGGCAGACGTTTTATGAATGTCTATCATAAATTGTCTGCTTAGTACGTTTAGTGAATAGCTCCCTATATGCAGCCATTATAGATACAATTTTCCCTATATTAGAAACATGTTATGTGTACAATGACACATTCCCGAATGATACCTTATCCATGTCGCCCCGCTATAAACCAATTTCTAACGATCGTACTTTACTCCCTTTAGTCGGTCTACCTGCCGCACTGCCTTTACAATCAACAAACCAACCAGCAGCTTCAAACACTGCTGTTCCAAGCGACACTCCATTAACCAACGCACAATCTCCAACCCCTCCATCTCCTCCGACTCCATCTCCTTCTCCTCCATCTCCTCCGACTCCATCTCCTCCGTCTCCAGCCCAACCGTCAGCTCAACCATCAACCCAACCGTCAGCTCAACCACCAGCTCAACCACCAGCTCAACCATCAGCTCAACCACCAGCTCAACCATCAGCTCAATCTCAACCAGCACCACAACAGACCGCACCCACAAAATCAACGATAACGATATCTGTTACTAACACTAGCGGTGTAGTGACAGTGACTTCAACATCCACAACCTTCCCTCCCGACCCAACCGAAACATGTGTTGCTTCGGGGCTGGGAGGGACCGTTACTTGCAATAATCCCAATTCATACTGTGACAAATTAAGTAATACGTGTAATCCCAAAAATTCAACCGGTCAGCCATGCAGTTCCGGTGACCAATGTATCTCCGGATTTTGCAGTAATGATATATGCGTTGATGTCTCTTCCACGTCAGACGAAAACAGCAACTCAAATCTTGGAACTAAAATAGGCGTTGTGGTTGGTGTCATATTTGGTACTGCTGCGATTGTTGGGATCTTTGTATGTTGTATACGCTTGGCGTACAACAGACGTCAACGTAAACGTTACAATTATGAAATGGAATCCGATGCATACAGCGATGGTGTATCTGTCACGGAAGCTAGACGACCGTCGTATCCATTTGCTGGTGGTGCAGCCGCATTCTCAAGCGCCAATCCCCCGTTTGCAGCAAGGAATGTTGCTCGTTCTGTGGTTACAGATACTACTTCTGATTATAATCCTCGTCCAAAATATAATGCTGTTCCGGCTCCTGTACCACCGTCTATGCAGTACAGAGGACAAGGAGGCTCTGACGTTCGTCCTCGAGACGTGAACACGAGTCGTACAGTTCAACCGGGACCACTATATCCCGGCCCATCTCAATTCACAGCCGCAAATTATCAGTACGCGAACATATCTTCATTAAGTGCTCCTATTCCCTCTCAGGCGCCAGTAGCTCAGCACAGCTACAATCAGCCGCCTCCAGCGCAGCCACCTGTCACGGGCATTATTCCAAAGCCCGATCGAGTATATTCGCCTCGACCTGCTCCTGCTCTCCCACAAACCGATTCTATGTCTGCAAATGAAGTTGTTAACACCGTTTCTAATAACGCCATTCGATCACCAATAGTTGGTGCAGCAATCGGTGCAGGTGTAGTTGGAAATAACTTACAAGTCCCGGATGCTCGTAAATCGAATGCAAGTTCAGACAAAGGCGTGCAGATTGTATATCGGGTGGCTAACAACAAGCAAGCCGAAGAAGCGCATAATCGATTATTTGAAGCAGCGAGAGATATGAATGAGAGACAGATTGGAAACACGAACAATGAAAACGCTGGCGCGGCATTGGATCAGACATATCTTGGTATTGACGCCCTTGTTCCGCATGGTGATTTCGAGGAGAGGACGGGAAGAAAAGGTGGTCGATACACGATGGCATCTATGTATACGACATCCGTATATTCGACATATTCACGGGATTCTTCCACGAGTAATTTCGGTCTTAGACCACCAGATATCAAAAATGCATTATCAATGGCAGATGTCCCAGACTCGCCCACTTTGTCATATACTGGGTTTTACGAAGCAAATATCGCGTCTAATAAGCAAGAGCTTGCACAAGCAGCTTCATCAAATAATAGCAGTGAGATCAACGTTCCAATAAACACCGAAACAACAACAGAAGCTCACCGGTTCGGTGGGGGTGGATCGCAAACAAACTCTGCGTCGTTTGAGGACGACTTGGCAGCGATACACCAATTTACCTTGAAGCATGGTCTATGACGCATGCAACTCGTTTACTCGATGTCATAATGAACTGTCGATGAGTGGATGTCATAATAATTCTGACTATAAACCTGCTGAATGGCAGTGGACTATTATTCCTAGATGGAATTTCTTTGAATTTTATGGATGCATAGTATCCGATATAGTGCTTGCTCCTTCATGTTTAAATCATTGTCATTCTCTTGTCATCCTACTTTAAATTCATCGATTGCAAGCAATTTCCCAGGAAAATTTATACAATGCTGGCATTTTTACTATCAATGATTTCGAAAAGCTGGCTTCATAAACTCGTGTTTTATATCATTATTCTTTACTTTTTTGAAATCATTGTATTTTTATTATTCTACACTATCTTGTAATTATATTTTTAGTAGGAGAGGAATTTAGAGATCAAACTGTTTGATAGAATTAAGTTGTAAACATAACGGGAATAATTTAATAGAACAGTGCATATATATCATTGTTTGCATTTGACGTCCCATTTTGGTAAAGACGTTTATTTGCATGTCGACAAATAAAATCCAAGAATTATGGCCATACGGCAAATACACGTAAATTGTAGTATATTTTTATTACATTATAGATGTGCTATTTTTTTAGCTTGGTTCTCTATATATAAGCAGACATTTGCCAATGGGAGATGTATATAATAAATTGATAACTCGATTTCGTAACATAAAGCAAACGTTACAAATCGCAATTATTGTCATGACAATTCCGTCAGATCAGTTCATAACACTAACAAATGATAGGGAAAAGGTACACTAAAACCCCGATTTTTAAGTACGTTCCACTCGCCTGTAAACTGTAACGACCGACTTATCAAGCGAAACACGAGAGTACACTCTCTTGGAGAGATTATTGGGTGCTGGGAACGGAGCTTCTTTACCACGCATTGGACCAGACGTATAAAAGAGTTTCGGTCTGTATTCTGGCTTCTCATCGAGGACACTGTAAAAAGAAAAAGAACAAATCGTGAACGAATCATCAAGTGACGGTCATCATACTCGTATCATTTTTCTTTGTTGCTTACGATGAATTACGAAACTTCTCGATTAATGCTTGGCTTCCCTGAATCGATGCATACGACAAGTTGCAAATTTTCTCAGAGTTGAAACGACTCCTATAAAATCGGAAATAATAAATAAACCAAGACATGATCGATAATAGAGTTAATTTCATTTACTTGTATACTGACCACTTGTTACCGATTCTCGCTTTGGCAAATGATATAATCATCCTGTATAGAAGGAAAAGTAAACCGCATTTTAATTGTTTTGAATTCTGCTGATTGTGGGAAAAAAATTGATCACATACTTTGGTTCAATAAAGTTCACGAATGCATATCCAACGTTACATTTGTTGATAAAATCAAAGCGAAGATAGACAAAGTCATAACAGCCAAAATGCGTCTCATCAAGCCATTCTAAGAACATTTCCTACAATAAAAAGTTAATACCAATATTATAGTTTGATTTCGACTGGCTCATAAATGCTCTTTCTCACTTGAGTGTATTTATTTGGAATATTTCGTATCATCAAAGTAGTGCGCGTGTCTGTGCCTGTAGAAATTGGGAGTAGAAATGTTTATTCCAATGGCTCGATATCTTCATGTGAGAAACAATTATAACTAGTATTAGATATATATCGTACCATCCTCTATAGCGCTTAAATCAATAGCATTCTTGACTGGAATTGTTCTATTTCCAGATAAGCGTACTGTCGTATTTGGTGGCTTTTTCTGCTGACTTGCGTCGGTCGCTCCCGAGTTTTTTATGGTTTCCACTGCTGACCATGAGTCAACACTTGCGTCGTAATAATTTACCTTAACGTCATACTATAATAATTAAAAGCAACAAGTATTATTTTGATATTCATAATTATTTTTATAAACACTAAGCAAGAGCACTTACATATTGTCGGTCGAAGAAATTTTTAGCCCTCACCGCAGAACGTATGTCAACAAATTCGAATATAATTTTATCGTCCCCATGGCCTAGCACTCGCCATGGCCTGCATGGTCCAAATCGACGTAATTTATCCTAAAATTAGTATAACATGCAATAAAATAATGTCCAAATAAAAAAAAGTTTTTAATACCAAGTGTCTGTTTCGTTCATGGTTGAGAGCAATTTATAAAAGCAATGGTTGTCCAACTAACCTCAAGCCATTTTAATGTTCGTGGTCTGTTAGTATACGTCACTGCGACCGTGCCCGACGCAGCAACGTTTTGTTCCGTCTATTAAATAAATTATGTATTGTCAAACAGTCATACGAAACACAGCCTAGACAATTTAACCATTGTAATACGTTTAAAAATACTTGCCAAGAATAGTGGTGATGAGCAGTAATAAACAAGTGGATATCTGCCGCTTATTAATTTAGCTTGCAATGATCGATGGGCTCGTATGGCATGAAGAATATTGTAATAAGCGACGTAAGCCACACCCTCACCGTGCAGTCTGTCGGCGAGAATCAGACGTATGTCACCGAATATCTTGACGAACGTGTAATATGAAAAGTTAATGAAATGATCGGCACCGAAATTTACTGCAATAAATCCCAGAGATAGCAGCAGGTACTGTTAATGGTTAACGATGAAAGGGTGCTAGAACAACAAATATTGTAATAGTTTTATAACCGAGTAATATGGTTTTGACTATGAAAGCTTTGCTAACAGTAAACAGTACATTTTACTTATTTATTATGCTTACCGATAACACACTCTCCAATTCTTCTTTATTGATATCCTTGGGCAAATTTCCAACTGCCAACCATCGCGAGGGAGCCATCGACCAAGTCGAGATATGAGGAGCGAGAAGAGGAATGCATTCCCCTTCACCATTCCATACATATTTCGGGACAGAACTTTCGCTTAGAAACGCAACTTGAGCGTCCCTTGCCGCCCCAAGCGCTTTTTCAATGATTGACGGGTTGCCGGGAGTAAAGTCTGTAACCGTCGTCTTGTTATCTGTTTGCAAATGCTGCGGATGTTTGTTTGCTGGGTCGGGCGAATTGATATCGTAACGAGGTTTAGCGGCTACTTGCTTATTGAGGGTAATCTGTGAAAAAATAAATTGTGAGAGTACAAAAGCAAGTACGTGTGGCAATGATAACGAATGAAACAATACACAGTGATTATGTAAAAAAAAGAACCAAAAAATGCTGATGAGATCAATACCTGCTTATCCGCAACTTTACTGCGAGTCAACGCTATGTGTTGCGAAAAACACTGCGTTGCAACGGTTGCAATTCTGGGAGAAATAATCTTGACAGAAGGTTGGGGTGCCATCTACTAATATCGGTTTGATTACGTGCCTAATAATGTCGCGATTCGTAGTGGTAATGATTAGTCTGCGATAAACCAACAGTCATATAATAAGCCTCTTTTCTTGTCTATTGATAATAGCGTCTCTGTTGCGTACAGTACTGTTAGAGGGTGAGGATAGCATATACACAAATTATAGCTATAGAACAATAAATACTATTATCGACGCGTCATTAGTATACTTGTCAAGATGTTAGACTGTCAGTTGTCCCACAATTGGTATTGCCCATACTAAGAATACTAGTTACAGTGATAATTAGCGTGCAGACGCAACTAAATACGTTTGCTCTCCCGTTTTGATAGAAGATGTTTATGATATCAAGAATACTGTGGATTAAAATAAAGACTTGCCGCAAGGAAACTTGCATAATTGTATGTTGAATTATTATGGGCATAGTTTATATCGCTATTGTTGCGTCGATGAGTATATGCACGTCCAATCTGTTGAATAAACCCTACCTCTGTTTAGTCTAATACTGACCCGGTTGTAATATGTGTTATGCTTGGTGTTTCGACTTTTTTGTTATTAAGACAGTATTGAATCGCGTTTATTTGAAGAAATTGCTGTACGTTCTTGGATGTAATCGAGGAGCAGTAGTTGAAGTTAGATACCGTATGCTGGCAACGTCTTGAAATAGATATTCTGATAGTCCTGTGATAATGATATAGCTGTGATAAATTGTCTGCCAGATAAATAAGCGCATTAACTGTCATTCAATATAACTGACTATTCATGCCTTTGTTGTGTGACTCGTAATGCATCTTTGAATCTATCATGAAAGACATGGGTAAGCGTCGGATGCGAAATATGATAAACAACTGATGCGCCATTCTAATATTTTTGACTTAAAGAACAAGCTTCCCAATTATATTTGTCACTTTTATAGGCATGTTCGCTAAGGCTAGTATACAATTTCGATACATACGACCCGTAAATAACGGCAAATTTTATCCAAGTATTAACGCAGACATCAGATTAAATACGATCCAAGTTTCGCTAAACTTGACAATTTTCAGCTGTCGGTGGCTAAATACTGGTGACACTATTTCGTCATCCCACGTTCAGTTTTCACATGAGCAATAAAGTAAACTACTGACACGTAGGCACGTAGAATCTATAACGTCTAAACTCTCAATTACTGTACATTATTTATTTCAAAAAATTTTATTTTTTTTTTGAAAAATTTCCTCGCTTGACTATAAGAACCATTTAGATAACAAATAGCACTACCCGAAGAAATGTGAGCTAATTGTAACCTTTAGCAACGCTCAATCGCAGACACTAGCAGTGAATTAAACCGTTTTCACGTTTGCAAACATCTCGGAAAAACCATATGCAAAAAAAGCCAATTTCAAGGTTGTCTTCAACTGTCTGGTTAAAAGACGTATTGAACACTCAACGCATTTTTGACTTTTTAACGTAAATTGCAGTCTTATGTATTTATTATGCACGCAAAGCCTCAAAATGTCTGTCAGAAAGAAGATCGGTGTAATAATCCTGGTGGGCTTTGTATTCCGAAATTGTCCAGTAATACGCGTGATTTGTCATACAAACTATAGTACTAGTACTATTTGTCAATCATTTACTTCAGGATTACCGCTTTATATGACATGAATATATGGACAGTTCGAATGCTATTATGCAAATACCCCGTCTTTCTTTACACAACAGTGACTGATATATTATTAATAAATCCTGCAACTAGAGCTGGTTCTGTGGCTACGCATTCAGATACATTTATGACATTAACATACTTTAATCATGACAATAAGTGCATCGAGCAATTGATTCTGTCGTATCCAAAGATAAAGCTACCAGTAACAACAGAAGAATAATTAACGGAACTAAGAGGAAGACCAGAAAAACTTATTGAGCATGGTAACTTGATGACCGGAAGAAACGAAATACAGGTACGCCTCAATGCAGTCAATAGTTTTCTATGGACTGGATGACATATTAAACGTACAGATAAACGGGTCAAATATTCAGGTATTCCATGATGTCAGAAAAATCTTTATTTTGTTGCAACATAACTACTAATTGTGAAATGGCTTGTTGTTTCAGATTGAACCTTCGAGTCGATGAAATCCTTGCTAAAACCACTGTCTATTTTTTTTATTTTAGGAAGTCGTAATTATCAATTGATTCCATGACTCTGCAACCGTCATACTCGACTTCGCTGAATTGTATCAATCATTCACCATATCTAATTATACCCAATTTGCCTTGTAGAGGCTATATTGAAATTGTTGGTCAGTCGAAATCCATGGAAAAGTTCCTTTTCGATTACCGCACGTATTTACGTGTAAAGAGCCTAATTGTTCATGCGTATTTTTGTCTTTATAACTACCCTATCTCGCAAAACCATTCTTTTAAACGTAATGTCAATAGAACATGTAATCAGCATTCAATGTTTTTATTCAACTGTCGATTTGTTCGGACTAACAAAACTCGACGTGATATTTATCCCGATGTATAAACTCTCATTATTGAAAGCATAACTTTAATAATATGATGCTAGATTCTGTATTCTATTAGTGCATTGAGGGCGCAAGAGATTTGCTGATGGGATCTGGTCTTGTATAACACATCTAATATCCGTTTTTCAAGTTAATTATGCTAAGGCTAAGGAAACTGCGTAAAACTCGCCGTGCGCTCTCAACGTATAGACTCTTAGACAAGCGAACATACATTGTGTGATCGGTACATGTTCACTCGGAAGTTTTGTTGAAATCTTTTACAGCAAGATCCTTTTTAAGAATTCCGAGAGTACAGGTTTTACTTTTGCACAGCTGTCCTCACCATATTCCTCATTGACAATATATCGAGTAATAGGTTCCTTATTCTGTGCAATTAACGGGTATGTGTGTCTCTGTCTAATAATAACATCTATATTTAGGATACCATAGGCAAAAGAACAATGTCGTATTAAGTTTTATCTGCATTAATAAGTCTGATAATGCCGCCTTTGTGTATTCAAAGCTTAATATGTAATGTGATTATTGATATGCAAGAGAACATGTATTAATGAAAGTGTAATAAATTTATAACAGAATCGCCCAACTCATTGCTGTTTACATTCTGGTGGGTTTGTTCCTAAAAGAGATGAAATTTCAGTAATCAGGATATTACTCAAATAGCGAATAGCATTTTCAAACTTACCGCCCTTCCCGTTTTGCTTTTTGCCCTAAAATTCATAAAGAAAAAGGAAAGAGTAAGTGATCACGTTAATTGATTGGTCTGGATATTGACTATTATCTTTTGCGTCTCATTTCTACAATGATCAAGTAATCTATTCGAAAACTTTATCTACTTGGTTATCAGGGAAGATACCCTCTGAAACAACAACAAAAAAGACATGACGAAAGAGTAGGAAGTGTCATTTCACACTTCTCATAAAATCGGATCCCCTAAGGGCATCCAACCTTTACACAGGATAAACCCAAATAAAAAACCCCATATTCCTGTTGGACACCTACTGAATCGTTCTTGAAGTTCGACAATTCAATGAAGACAAAAATCACAAAGTTTCTTAATACTTAGCAGTCTCAACGCACAAGGTGATTAGCAACTCCTGATTCTTCGTCGTCATCGTCGTCATCATCGTCATCATCATCATCATCATCGTCGTCGTCGTCGTCATCGTCGTCATCATCGTCTTCATCGTCTACGACATGGAAATCCTCTTCATAGTCGTCTTCTATAACCTCTTCATATTGTAAAGCTTTACCAGTGTACCAATCGATGGCGCGAGGGATGAGCTTCTCCTTAATATCTTCTCCCATTTGGTAGTCTGCTTCAAGACGCTCGTCAAGATCTTCATCTTCTTCAGCAGCGTCATCAGTATCAGGCACAATCGGAGGACTGAAAAAATCAAAAAACGTTTCTGCGCGAACTGTTTTTGTTACAATTCGTGTTTCTTTCGTTTCTATTACAAAGTAATTACAATGAAGAACAGTAATGTCAATAAACGTAAGACGTGCAAAACGCCGGAAAAAATTTGTACTGGGAGGAAATGTCGCTCAGATGGCAGACGAATTAAAGATCTCTCGTAAGAATAAAGTAGTAATTAATAATACAAACCTTTATGTTTTTGTTTCTTCGTCTCAGTCATCAAATTAAGCGCTTTGCCCTCTTTCCAATTAATCGAAGTTCCCTCTGCATGATCGTAGACAAAGTCTCCGCCATATCCTGGCTCGTCTTGATAATAATATGTCTTCGTCAGAATTCTGTTTGTAAAAAATGGATTCTCCTCGAATTCAAAGTCTAACCGAAACCCAGGTTTCTCCAAATATGCCATACGAATGTCGATAAGATGTTTTAGGCACGCTTCATCGCGGTCTGTAATAGTTTCTGAGATTGTATATAGATTCTTCAGAGCTGTGAGCCAGAACTCTGGAATTCCCTTTACTGGTCCGTCAACAACTTCTGAAATTTTTACGCCATTTGTTGTTGCTGGTTGTTCTGGCCCGTCGACTTTCCTGCCAACCTCGACCTCTTCTTCAGACGGTTCCAGCTCTCCTTGTACTATTTTTGAACGTTTATCGTAAAGTGGTTTGTACAGCTCGAGATATTTTTTCTCGAGAGCGAGTATTTCTTCTTGGAATCTAGCTTCTAGTTTTGTATGTTGTGTTTGTACAAATTTGAGGCCATTGATACGACGTTTTACTTCCTCTGGAAGGGCTTCGATATATCCAGAGGGCTTGCCAACAAGCGAACCAAGCTTTCCTTGTAGTAAAGAGACGAGCTGAGGATGTGGAGTGGGAAAACCGTCAGCCATTGTTTGGAAGTTTTGTGTTCTCTATATTGTACAGAATAATTGATATCGGTAGAAAACCTTTTCTTTTCTTTTAAATAATGGTGTGCGGTTGTGTAAATCAAGGTGGCTAAGCTCTTCTCAATTTGTCGGCAGATTTTTTTTTCTGCCAGGCTGGGGAAGGTAGATCGGCAAACATGACTTGCGTTGACCAATCATCTTCGCCTTTATGAATGGTAATCCTAATAATATATGGTAATCCTAATAATAGATCCAAATCGCCAATTCGAAGTAGGCAAACTGTCCCAAGTATCACACAAATAAGCGACGTCTAATCAATACGAGAAAAATGAAAAATATCATATAATGATTATTATTATTATGTCAATATAACAATAATAATAATAATAATAACAATAATAATAACAATAATAATAATAACAATAATAATAATAATAATAATAATAATAATAATAATAATAATAATTTAAATCATATTTATTACATTAATATTAATATTGAATGTAGTTATAAGCCATGCCGTTGACGCAAGCAACAGGAATATTACGAACAACGTAATCTGTGTATCCTGACTATATCCATATTGTAAGTCTTTCTGAGGAAGATTTGTCTGGCACCATTGTTCAATCTACAAGCAAATCGTTGATTAGACGTTTAAACTGTAAAACATTTAAGCAAAATGAACGCTATATTAATTTCTCACCTGCCCACAAACAATGCTTATCTTTAGAAAATTAGGATCATGTGGATCGTTCTTTTTCAATATTTGTCGCATGTAATAACGGTACACAGCAGCAACTTGATAGATGTTCTTAGTTTGACTAAGTAACTGAGAATAAATCGATAAAATCCCATGTAATTAACTCAATCTAAGCGATATGCATTATCACGTAACTTTAAAATACTCACAGACAACGCCTGACCCTTGCGTATTTTCACCACTTTTCTATACACATCAATATTCCTAAACATCAGGGTAAGTGTTGCAATAGCCATGACCTGTGGAATAGCGCAGAATTCAAATACGCTCTGGTTATGTAGACGGCTCATGTACGTCAGATTCTGAGTCACATGTTGGAGTGCGTTTAACAAAATAGCCGAAAGGCAATTAAGTGCTGCCATTTCATTCCCCGGATTCGGGAGTGCGGAGAGGTCCGATGTATATTGTGACCAAATTGCTTTAGGCCAATACCATCTACCATGGCTAACGTCTTCAAGGTAATCACGGGTTATGTTTACTTTCTGAAGAAAGAGACCCATTGAATTTGCACTGATCATAATCGCAAAAAGCACACGCGTGAGTGATTACAAATACTTTGTGTTTTGCAAACGGTTGAAAAGATTGCTTGTGTAATAAACTCTCGCGGTTAATGACAAACTCACAAGTTGCCAAAGTAAAAGTTTCAGCGGCTAATGACTTACAGTGCTTCGTCTTTCTCCGTGAGTTCAGTTTCAAGGCCGCTTGCAATAAATAGTTGGGTGAGCCCGATGCCAGGTAATCCGGCAACATAATGACAGTATTTATCAAAGTCTTCTAAGGTTATTAATCCGTCTGCATTATGGGCTGCATGAGTTGCACAATCGGCCATTCCGTTTGCCACTCTCTTGCACATGTTCGTAAGAATATTTTGATATCTGGATTCGGGAATGCGGGCATGTCAACATCACGTAATAACACTTACAGCTGAAATAAACGACAAGCCTTACTTTTCTTTTAACCTCAGAAACTCGTCAATAACAACATAAAACTCTAGCATTAATTGACGATCTCTCTCTTGATCACCGTCTAAAAGAAAGCAGAATCAATCAAAAAAATATTCAGCGAACACAAGAAGATGTTATTGACCATGCATGCTAAGACATTTCAGCGAAACAAACGGTACTTGTATTTACAATAACTCACTTTCTTCAAAACGCCAACCTTCTACACGGAGAATCTTATAAAAATCTCTAAGTAATGGATCTTTTTTTTCTATAGGTATGGTCATGTCATCCTCAATTGTATCAACTCCTCGGAGAATGAGATAAAACAAGCAAATCTATTGAACGTGCGAGGGAAATTACTAATGGTTGTTAAGCTGATACAGCGAACTGCTTTGGACTATCACGGTTTGTTTTACGTATGGTAAGAACGATCTTGTGGATAGTACTCAGCTATATGAACAGAGCATATCTCTGCTTACCACATCTCTCAGTTCAACATCCAGATTTTGAATGACGGCGGCAAACGACCGTGATGTCATATTAAGAAACTCGTAGCATCGCGTCTGAGTAGAACGATCACATTTGATTATCTTTCGTCTACTGGCACCACCTGAGATTAAGAACTGCACAATCGCTAGTAGTTCCGATGGATGAAGAAGAGAGTCAACGATGGCTGACGCCATTGAAGTAATAATGCAGAATTTTTTCAAGAAAAGCTTGGGGTTAGGAAGTTAAATATCTACTTGGAAATCTGAGGTGTGTCCAAACACGGATACGGTGTGCGTTCCAATAACGGCAAGGATAGACCTTTCATTAAAAAAACTTTTATTTAATTTGGTGAACGCTTGTAGCGCTACCGTACAACATGTGTGTGTTCTTCAGAAGCACATGCACGCTTGGCAATCTCAGCGATATTGCAAGCACTAATGTTTTTGCGGTCTCGGTGTAAAATATTCTCTCGAGAATGTGCTCACTCCATGCTCAAGAAATAAACATATAACCGATAGTACGGCTTTAATCGTCATTTCAATTACCAACACCGACCTCATTTTGCGACAGTATAGCATCATTTTATGGTACTACAAGGAGTTTGTGATAGGATCAAAAAATGGAATGCTTGACAAAGTTGGCCCACTCTCAGAGTAACAGCAAAATGGAATTACGATAATAGACAATCCAAGCCGGTTGCTCAAGAATCCATGTATCTGCACCAGTAGTTAGACGTGACATCCATACTATTCTCATCAACATGGCCTCTTTTTTTTTTGCAATTACACCAAAAAATCAAAATATCTTTGTTTCTATCGCCTCTGATATCAGTAGTTTACAAACATAGGAAGCCCCCTTATAAAATTTACATATGGAGCTTTTTTTTTGCCGATCATTTTACAATAGTATGACTTCAAATCGATAAGGAAACATTTTACTTGAGACTGTAACAATATATGCTTCAACACGTGCTCTTTTTGTTATTTGTTATAAACGTTGCAAATGTTCAACAATAAAGACTTAGATTCATGTCAAATAAATCGAAAAATCGGCTGCTTACGTTGTTTGCCAACCGATCGAGTGTACGTTGTACATGTATACCAGCACCCCTTAGTAATAGGGGTGCTTATTAGTAATCAGATAAAAACGCGAGAATTTAATGACGAAAAGACGGGAAACATTTAAATTATATATGCATACGATCTCCGTGTTCTCGTCTAAATTACTCCAAGTGCTCACCAGAATTAAACGTGAACACAACTTCTGTGCAAGCAAAACTTCATGGACGAAATTTGTTGTGATAATTAGACTGCATACCACAATTTTGGGGGTGCTTATTTTCGGAACTATACGGTGGTGACACAAGCTGATGTGCTTTGCGAAACTAGTAGGATTTGTATTTCGCGTTTAATTCTTGGCCAGTCTACCATTACTTGTAGAAAATTAATTTGGATAAAAAAAACATGGTTGCGCTATATTTTGGCCTTATTTGGCATTACTTTGATTGCTAAATAAATTGAGCATCATCGTAAAATACGATGATTTACTTGACATAAATGTTTTTATTGTTGAAACTTATTTATTTGCAGCAGTAGCAAAAAAATGTGCGGGTCAGTTAAAGAGCACGTGTTAAAGCATATATTGTTACAGGTAGCTTGCTTCCTTATCGATTTGAAGTTCATACTATTGCAAAATGATCGGCGCCATATGTAAGGCATGTTGTCAAAAATATTGATGATCAGATTAGTCCAAGTGGAGGTGCGTTTCTTATGGTTTGACCTTCCATAATATCAATAAGGAAACTCTGCTGGAGTATGCTGAACTCTGCGAATCGCAATACAATATTGAGAGACTATCACTATACTCGTGTTGAACGTTGCTCCAACTATTACGAAAACGTACCTAACGTGATGTATAGTTTTCAACGACTCGTTTAACACCAAGTTAAACTTGATTTTCTCGGTACAGAAGCTTGGGAATATAAATCTTAGCAATTAACTGACTAAATTGCTGCGCCAATTGAATTGCTAACTCGTTCATTTCACCTGTTAACTCTTGAGGGCCAACTTTTCTGTTTCATCCTCTAATACTTTTATTCTGCCTATAAGTGCTAAATCAATTTTAACTAATACATTGACTATCACACGCGAGATAAATAGAACTGCAGTCTCACAACGACCAAAGTAAAAGTATTTTCTCCAATATCCGTATCAAGCTCAACAGTTGGTGATTCTCGGTGTAGGAACTGGCCGTTCTTATTCTCTCGTTCTGTATATTTCGAATGTAGACTATAGAGATAATAAGATTGGATACTTAAAGTCGTACGTGTGTATTGTACATACATCTAACGAGACAAAGGAGGATAAAAAAAGCTTATTAGCAGCAATATGATCAATGATAATAGTTATAGATTTGGTGCGTGTGTGTCAAAGTTATCATTTAACTATCGACCTACATCAAAAATTTGCTGTTACTTTTTACAGATCGTTTATTGAAAAAGGAATGATAAACCGTACGACGGTGAAAATCTTACGTTTCAATGAAACTACTACTATCGATGCGGGTATGTCCATACCAGCCATGATAGAATTAAAATGAATAGGTAGTGCAGATTATCGAGAATGAAGTTGATGAAGATATAGAAATTGTAAAGAAATCTGTACAGAAAAAGTTGAAGGGAAAGTATTGGAAAAGAGTGATGTGAGGAATAATATAAAAAGATTTGGTAGACTCATTAATCTTGAACCTATTACTGTGATATCACGAGATTATAAAGCTGATGGGGTTATAGCAAGATGAAAATATACATAGGTTAATATTGATATTACATCGCCAATTATGAAGAACGACCGCCTATCTCCTCAATTATATTCTCCACTCTCATAGTCTTATACTATAGAGAGGAGAGACAAGCAGAACGAAAGATGACCCGATAGATATCTACAAATAGATAGTCTTAATGTCGTTGACGCCAAACTGTTCACCACACCCGGGACATTTACGATGCCTCATCTCTACCCGTGTGTCTATACAATGCCTGCAGAAACAGTGCATGCACTTTATTATGCAGGTGTCTTTAAACCGTTCCGTACAAATCGAACACTTTAGCTTGCCCTAAAATTAAGCAAAAGCCGTTAGCAAATTTGATGAGAAAGCAAACTTATACGCCCATAAATGTATGTAATATGAGCAAATAAATACCTTATACGCATTAACCTCGGCTTCTAAGCCTGCAGACAATGTCGACTTCTTCGTCTGAGCCTTATTCTTGTAGACTAGCATTTCTTCTTCTGCACGTCGCCGTAATTTATTTTCTTCAACTATTTGTGCTGTCTTGGCTTTCAACATGTTCGCGAGCTGAAATAATACAAACCATTTCGCTTAGAATTTAACATCATAAAAAGAAATTTCATGACGGCTGCCAACCTCATTATATTTGGATTCCCCCTTGGATAAGGTCTCTTTCATCCTGTTAACCTCTTCTACCATTTCCGCTAGTTTAATCTTGTGGATTTGCAATGCCGCATTTGCTGCAGCGAGCTCTTTCTCTTGATTTTGCTATTTATTCAATTCACATTAATCGTGAGCTATAAGTTGCTACATAGGTCAAATCGACTAATGAATCTTAACCTTACTAACCAGCTGCTGGTTCAAATTGACGTTTTTATATTCAAATTGTCGTCGAGTCTCTTCTGCTTTGAGCTGGACTTTACCAAATTCTGCAACTTGTTTCTTGAGTGAAATATTTTCTTTATATACATTATGCAGTTTTTGCTCTGCTCGCGTTTTCTGAAACCATATGACAGCGAGTCAGTATAAAAACTCCAATTAGGCAGTTCTATAGCTCGTCTTTGCACTCACCGCATCAGTCAATCGTAGTATAGTATCTTCAGCTTTAATTGTATCCCATACTTTTCTACTATGTTCCTCTTCTTGTTTGGATACCTGATCTACAAGAGTGTCAACCTCACGCTCCAATATCCTTGCGTGCTAAAGCAAAAGTTTGTAAGCATGCTGTTCACTAAACAACAAACAAACAATTTTCTCAAACAACACTCACAGCTTGAGACGTCTGACACTTTTCTTGAAGTTCTACTATCAGCTTGTCCTTTTCGGCAATCTTAGCAGACAATATATGCAAGGGGTCATCTCCAGGGTCCTTGATTCCATATTTTTTATCATATTCATCAAGGCGACGTTTTAGTGTGTCAACTTCCTTCCGTAGTCTATATTCAGATTCTCTAATTGATTGAACATCTTTGACATCTGATCGCGCCTCCCGACATGCTTCCAGCTGCCTTTCAAGTATTTCTCGCTCTTCGTCTGATTGCCTGATAAGCAGTCAATAAATGTGTAACGTCTCGGTTTAAGCAATGAATCAAAAGTTAAAGAATCAACTTCAAATAATAATAGCCTCCTTACTTTAATCTTTCTTCAAGTTCAGCAACGTATGACAACTCCTCATTAATTTTTCCGATACTAATGTCATCTCCCATATCAGGCGGGTCACCGGAATAAAATTCAACGGCCTTTTGATTTCTTGTCTCTGCGTAAATCATAAGTTTTAATCTTCTAACTTCATCCTGTAACACTTTTATAGCTTGTTTCCGATCGTTCGCCAATTTTCTCAGCATCGTAACCTGTTGAAATTCCGATGCTCGCGTTGCCGTGACGATCTCCAACTCGTGTTGTATTTCATCACGTTGAGTACGAATACGATTCAAATCCGTCTCGAGGCTCCTCATTTCCGTCATGATATCGTTTACTCGGCTGTTCGCCTCATTCTATTCAAGGAACTTTAACTCTGAGCTTTTGGAAATTTGACAAGTAATAAAGCAGGATGGAGAGTGAGTGAGAAATATGAGCACACCTCTTCTTGTGATCGAAATGCCCGTCGACTACCTCGTAAATCTTCTATTTCGCGAGTTAAATTCTCGACCATAGTTCGAAAATGCTCGGCAGCGCCTCGTGCTTGAGAAAATTGGACTTGCAGATCTTTGAATACGTGAGTTTCAGTTACACGATCATCAGGCATATTCTTAAGCTTGAACACAAAAAAAGCGTTAAATTAAACCCAGAAATAAATGACATTCCATTGTCCTCAACATAAACTACGAAATGACGAAAGTTTCCTACCTGAAGAGTCAATGAATCCTTTTCCTGTTCAGATTTAACCAAAGCAGTATTAAGTTCC